TAGTTCTGCTTGAGGACCATCCCTAGCTTCTACTGTGCGTACACCTCTTTTTTTCTTTTTTTAAGAGGACTGCAATGGTTGGGAGTGAGGGGCACCAGCAGGACTGGGGGGTGGGGGGAGCAGGGGCTGAGGGTTGGAAGTGAGTGGCACAGGGGACCAGGTGGGTCACTGGGTTGAGTGTGCAGGGCACTGGAAGCACTAGGGGGCTGCGGGTCAGGAGTGAGGGGCACCAGCAAGAGGTGGATGGCAGGGTACTGCTGTTTGGGAGTGAGGGCCGCTGGCAGGGCTGGGGTCTATGGGTCCAGGGTGAGGGGGAGCAGCAGGACTGGGGGGAGGGGGAGTTGTCAGTGAGGGGCAACAGAATGGGCAGATGCAGGGCACTGGCATGTCACTGTCCCCCCATACCAACATATTTCTCCCCCCATTTCCTCCCATGACAGGTGTCCTCTTTTTTAGAACTGGAAATATGGTAACCCTACCTGAGCCTAAAAGGTTGAGAACCCCCGTGTTAAGCTATTACATAGAAACATTCATGAGCAACATTTTCCATTATTCCTGATTGGCCAGGGAAGTATGCCAGATCCCAGGAGAAAATGGCCAAGACCCAGTTATTCGTACCTTCATCTCTTTTCAGCTGCACTATAGGAAAGCAATATGCAATGGGCCCTATACATGAAAGCTCAGCTAGTACAGAACACTGCTGCATGTTTCCTCATCAACAAAAGCTACCACAAGCAAATCAAAGCAGTTTAGTCCACACTGCCTTCACAAAGAAATCTCAGTCGAATTCACTGTCTCTGTTCATATATCAAGATGCTCCAAGGCTCAGACCCAGGACATACAAAAGACTTTCTGAAGTTCTGGGATGCCCACAACTTCACTTCTCTGGTGTAACAGAACTTCCTACAACAAAGGTCAAGCACTTGGGAGACAAATCTGTCTCAGGGGATAGTCTGAGACCACAGAATGAACTCCTTGAAGAGGTAAGGATTCTCACAAACTTCACTACCTTCCACTTGAAATGTTTCTTGCCCTTCTTTGACCTCATCTTCTCTGACATAAACAAATGTTTTTTCCTTCTTTTCCAATATAAGCCTTGCCATATAACAAGACCACTCAATCCCCCAAGGAAATACAAAATCCTATCAAAACAAAACATACCATTGCACTCACCTCTCCCTCCCCCCAACTCCCACAGGGAGAGGATGAAAGAACAAGCAACACAAGATGGATGGTAGTCTCTTTGCCTTGCACTCTACTGAAAGGCACTCAGGGTATTTATACATGTGCTCCACAAGTGTGTGTGGGGGGGTGCTTTAATTTAAAGCAGCTCTCAGAGCCACAGTAATTAAAAAGTGCCCAGAGTGTCTTGTGCATCAGTGTCCCTGTGCTTAAAAGTGGCAGCAGGGGTGCTTTTACTAGCTTTAGTTAAAGTGCCCCCACCGCCATTTTTCACTGGAGGGATACTGATACACGAGATACTGGAGGGATACTGATACACGAGATGCTGGAGTCCACTGGAGCATGGTAATTACCTTGCTCTAGCAGACTCAATTAATGGAGTCTGCTCTAACATGCTGTAATTACAATGTGTTGGAGCAGCCTTGCTGCTTGTATGTAGGTGCCCTCAGATAGTATAGACCTATACAAAACAGCAGTAGTGTAAGGTGGGGTCAGTGATCAGGGCAGCAGCTTGGACACCCACTTAACAGGGGACCCTAGACTACATCTACCATGACTGCCAGTCCTGCTTCCAGGGTTGTTACACCTCTGCAGAACGAACAGAGACTGACTTCAGTGTCCAGAGACTTCAAACAGACTTAACCGTAACTCCAAAGTCAAAATTGTTCAGTACTTTTGAGAAGTTCTATATACTGAATCTAAATCCCCCGAACAATCTCCTGCCACCCCTGTCAAAAGCATCAAATCTGCTTCTGCCATGTGCAAAAGCAGAGTACTAAAAAGAGCTTGTCAGTGGGAGGACACTGTATCTATGGTTTTATATTAGGCAATGCACGATGAAACTTTTCTGTAACTAAGAAAGCATTGATACAGAGTTCTTATCTTATTATTTTCTGCCCACTCCGCTTCAGGGCTTTGATTTAAGGAGCTTTCATTCACAATTGTTTTGGCTATTAAAACTAGCTTGCTACAGTGACACGGAGGCATAATCAGCATTACTTTGATTTTACTTTTTCACGAATGGCAGAAATTCTTGCTTTCATAATCTGTAACTGCAATACTGATGTTTAAAAACCTCAAATCATTCTAAAGTTGAAGTAAGGTGAAAGAACTAGCATAAGGTAGCTGGTTTGGTTAACTAGTGTCATATTTATGCTATTCCCAAAGATGAAACGGAATGCATAACTTAAAAAAACCCAACAACACTTCATGATACTTAGGGATCTGATTTTCCATCTGACCTCATAACGGATTCATATTAAATTCTACCAGTAGTTCTCCTGGAATCAATAGTTCTGCTCATTCAGTAAAATACTGCTTAATCTTAGTAAAGGTGGCAGAATCAGATCTTTAATCTAGGTTAGTATCTGAAGTCAACAGTGTACTGAAGTGAAAGCTAGAACCCACTTCCACATCCTTTTTTATTTTTAAGTGTTTTTAGATTCTTCTATCCTTAAAAAAAGTCTCTAAAGTTTTAACAAATTAACACAGGATTAAGAGAAAGAGACAGATAATCTCAATAATGAAGTCAGTAATTCACAGCCTGTGATTCAAGGAGCACAGGTATTGATCTAAGGAAGACTGGCTCCTATAACATATCAGCAACTGTTTTCTGAAGATTTCAGAATAAAGTGTTTAAATACCATCAGATCTAAGATAATGCATTTGTGTTTGACTTGGAACTCTATGAATCTACACCAAATACACTCAAATTGTTTTATTAATATGCTAAATTTTCAATTTGACATGCTTTTCCTCCTCAGTCCCCTCTTCAAGTCTACTTACTCCATGTGTACAGTTTGTGGCAGGTACACTTTTCATTACTGAAGTGAAGGGGTCTGAAGTGAAGAATGCACTTTAGCTACTTATACCTCTGATAATGAAACATGAGTAACTGCTCAGAAGATGCTCTCAAGTACATGAAAGAAGACAGATGGCATCGACCAATCTTTTTCTAACATCTCCTGCCAAACAATGATTCATGAGTAGGAGCTAATGTTGGATATTCCTTGCTATTAACTCAAGATAAGCTGGCAAGGAAATACTAACCGTAAGTAGATGGGAGAAAAGCATAGGGGCCAAATGAAAGGGACAGATAAAACAGACTGCTTGAAAACTTGCATTTGATTTAACAGTTATTTCTAAGGCTTTGTACTTCATGTAAACATAAACCTGGGCCCATATAATGGACTATATTTATTTTTGGTAGAAACAAGTGTAAATCTCATACAAATCTCCAGAATAAGTTCTTCAGTGACACTCGCCTTTTCTACGTGGCAAGTTAAACAAACTCACTGAAAGTGTGAATTGTAATGAGAACACATTAAACCTCTGTGTGGACACTCATTCAGAATTAAAGTGGCCTCAGTTCAGGGGTGTCAAGCTCATCCTGCACCCTGGGCCAGATCTGGAACATAGATCTCCCAGGCCAGATCTGTGGCCAGTGGCAACAATATGTCTGGCAATGGTCTGGCAACCCCCACAGGCAGCAGTGGGGGTCCAGGAACCACAGGGGAAGCAAGGGCTGTATCTATGCATCCCTCGCTCTTCCCCCCTGCCACCAATGATCATGCTCATCAGGTCTCAGGGTCCTGAATTCTGTGGCAGGCTGCATGTCCTAGCCCATGCCGCTCCCCCCTCTCCCCTCCCCACCCCGTAGCCCAAAGACCTGGATGAAATGGCCATATCTGGCCTGCTGGCCACGCATTTGACACCCATGCTTTAGTTCAAGTATAAATTAATGCACTTTAGATATGATTAGACCAGGGTTCAGCAACGTTTTTCAGCAGAGTCCCAAAAAACCCCACAACCTCAACTTGTAAGATGTTGGTGTGCCAAGGGTGGATGGCAGGGGAGCCACGAGGGCCTGATCCTTGTTGTGACAGCACAGCCTTGACCCCTTCCCAGCCATCCACCCCAAGCATGCCACTAACGAGCCAAGCCAGGGCTCGACAGACCATGGTGCAGCTGCTTGCAGCCTCCCCGCTGGCTGCTGTGAGCAGGCAGGGCTTCGTGGCCAGAGGCAGGGGCCTGCTCAGAGCCTGGGCCAGCTGCAATGTGCTGAGCAAAATAGCTTCACATGCCACACTCTGGAACACGAGCCAGGGTTGCTGACCCCTGGATTACACAAACCCAAAGATGTTAGTGTGAATTGTATCTGTATAGTGGTTAGAATAGGACTACAAAGTGATATAACAGGGTAACATGTATCAATTAAGCATGCAGTGGATGTGCAAAACAAATGTGTTGAGGTGGCAGGAAAAGCACCTAACAAGAAGATGCAAAGTAGAGCAATTTTATCAGAATTTTATATTTTATACCACAATCTAAGGCACTGATTAAGCTCGCTGGAAAAGATCTACACAACTTACCATTAAATGTTCTCATTTGCTGCCTTCGTCCAACTCGATCCAGGCCAATAGGGGTGCTTTGTGAAAAGGTGAAGGGCCGAAACCTGGCTGAAACAGCTTTATATGGGGGAACCTGGTGTGCTGGTACAGGTGGCCGTGTTACTGGCTACAGAGAGAAAAACAAATCTATTATTATTACTAAAATTATCATTAAGCCAAACCTAGGTAGAAGTTATAAAATAAGGTTTACTTACGCTCTCAAGCTAACACTAAAAGAAATACGAACCCCTCGTTCAAGCAACTTTTACAGCGACTGAACAGCACATTCCATACAAAGTATCATAGTTAATATATAATAGCACTAAGGTTCTCTGCAATGTTAAACATGCTATAATGTTCAGCTACAGTTACTGATGATGCTCTATATTCCTCTGCTTTATAGTCTTCATCTCGCAATATTCCATATATAAACAACCTGGTAGCTAATTTATTTCAGAATCGCTTACTGCAGTATCAACCAACTGTAAATTTGCAACAGAATAGAAACACTGAAGTGAAAGGTCTGAAATTATACCACTGGGAGGGATGCTAATTTACCAGGATCTTTTCCCCCCAAATAAATGTACTGCTGCTAAGTAAAATAAACTTATTTTATTAAGTAAGTCAAAAAAACCTTAATTCCGTTTTTTTCCTTAAATTCCATAAAACAGAGTAATACCATTTATGGTCCATTGAAAATTGAGTCCCATATTTAATAGGAGGCTAATTCTTTTACTTAAAGCACTCAATATTTTTAATGCATTATTATTATATGTATGAGCATTACATTGTCTTTTGCAAATTTGCTCCGATTTATCACTGTTTACAAACTTGGTCTCTCTTAAAACAGGCTTAAGAGACTTCACTAAGCATTCATTCCAAATTGAACTGTAAATCCCTATCACATGCATTTTAGAGGAAATCTTCTTTAGATTTCTTCTTAGTTCATTTCGGGCACTTAAATTAGCTAAATTGAAATACCATGTCCTTTCTATCAACTATTTGTTGACCCTCTGGTACAAAACACGTGATTTACTATTCCTTGAAAGCTTTTTTTCCTCCTACACTAAACTGTCAGATTAAACAAAACAAAACAAAGACAGAAAGAAAAGAGAGAGTTAACAGAACACTTTTGTATTCCATTAGAAGTTCAAAGTGTTCAGGAAAAAAATTCAGCTATGTTAAGGCTAGGCCTTATAAATTCTTAATCATATTAAATAAAACTATTATAATAGTTCTAATATTTGTGTTCCTGACTCGGTCCCTTTTCATATCTTTTAAATGACAATTAAGCTATTAAATACTTGACTGAAAAACCAGTAATCTCTTCATATATTTTAATACAATCTAATTCTCTCAAATTTATTTTACTCTGCAATGCATCAGTAACTCAGAACCTCAGTAACTAAATCAACTCCACAAAGGCCAGTCAACGGTAGTGATGTCCATTTAAATTTTTTTAACTCCAGAATTCCAGCAATGCATTCATTTTAACCCACCCTTGCAAAACTTTGAAAGGACAGTGCGATTTGTTTCCAGTGATAAAAATAGATGCTTCGTCTTTACTGCAGCAACGATCAAATTTAAAAATAATGGCAAACCAATGCTTAAACTACCTGAGGTTGCAAGTATAAAAATATATGCAACATCTTTCAAGGTAGATTGACTTTCAGACCTAACAATTTTAGGAAGAGATCCTTTGCAAAAGAAACTACAATTTGAGTTTAATGACAATGCAGACTTGATAAAATCTAGAGCCAACAAGAAAAAAGTTAACTAGTTTATAAACTAAACAATATATATAATTTGTTAGGGACAATGGGAATTTTTCTTTATATTACAAAGCTAAAGCATTACTGCCTAATCCTTTGTGAAAACTAATTTTTTTGTTCAACCACTTCCATTCAGTCAGTCAGGATGGTAGCTAAGGGAGAGGTGGATTCCTTCAATTTTCCAAAGGTATGGCCTTTCCAATCGCCCAACAATATCAATTCAGTCTGTATTCAGTACCTGTCAACTAGAGACTGGGACTACCAATTCATTTATTAAAAGCTACACAGCATTGCTATCTGACTGTATCCACTTTAGTTATCTGCTGAAACACAGGCAATATTAGACTTGGAGGGACTTCTTTTCCTATTACCAAGCCCATCAGCCACCCTGTTCTGCTCTGTTTTAATATATTTTAAAATTGATTATACATGTAATTATACTTACTGTATCTACACCAATCAATTTGCATCCACATTTTAATAGGCCCCATTTTAAATTATATACTTAAATTCTATACTTTATTGTACAATATATAAATGGTTATATATACCAGTCACTTGAAACATACATTCTATGTGCTGTTGATTAATTATAAAACACATGTGAGGGTATTATACTCAAATGAGCATATTAAACTAGAAATATCAACATTCCAAAAAAAGAGAGGTTTAGTTAAAAGGCAAGCAAGATTACCCCAAAGTCTAGATCAGTTAGTTTCATTTCTTTTTTTTTTAGTTTAACAGAAAATTAGAGGCAAGAAAAGTAGAATTTTAATTATCTGATACCAGTGTGAGTAAAAAGAAGAAAGGAAAGGAAGTGCCCAGTCTATTGTCTAGCTGGAGACAGACGCAAGGAAGTGGAAGGCTCTTTAGTAGTTGGCAGAGAACACGTCTTATATCTTACTTGTGTCAGCAGACCTTCTATTTCTTCTGTTTGGCTGCTCCCATAGAAACTGACCCCACCTATTACAGAGATGGGTCTTCTTTTGCGTCCTCTTTGGTAGCCTCCTGTACTGCTTTGGACTGTAGACTCAACCGAAGCCAATCCAGACAGCCGTTCACCATCAACACAGTCTGTTTTCTGAGACTCCATAGCAATGGAATCTTCTGGTATTGAGAAACTCCTGATGGCCAATTGACCATAGTCTGAGAGAGGCCTTGGCCGAGTTCTTTTCCCAGAGCCCCCTCTCCTAGGCATGACCTTTTGTGACTCTGTCTTTTCTTCATCCTGGGATGGTGACCTCTTCCAGGGGTCATCAGAAACAACCTTTTTAAATGTGAACAAGTCAAATAAGCTAGAGCAGGTCCTGATGCATAGTGATTTATGTATATTTTATGGGGCAGACAGATATAACTTGGCTGTAAATGTAATACAACATCAATAAAGAGCAATATATTATAATAAAGGAAACTAATAGTTCAGGAATAAGTGAAAATATAATTGCAAGAGAGAGATATTACACGCAACAGTTAATGATGACACAAAATCCTAAGCACATACTAGGTAAATGACTATTGTTAATTAAATTACTATGATTGGATTGTTATCTTTGTAGTGGCAATAGCCCCTGGAAAATAATTAACTGAATAATAGCTGGGAAAAACATGTCAGCGCTATTAAAAAATCTTGTGTTTATATAAATATAATATGCAATAATATCCATTTTAAAAAAAGAAAAAAAACCCTTTATTTTGTAATAGTGCAGAGTTTTGATTCAGCATCTCCTAGGTAAAAACATGAATCCTAGCATAGGATATATGAACTTTGACCAGGTTACTTGATGTATATTTGGTCAATATGTTGAGATCAAGTTACAAAATGTAATTGCTAAGATTAAGTCACTAAAAATGACATCTCACAATATAGCTCTTGTGATCTTTTCCTCCAAGTTCTATGAATGCACACCTGCGGGAACTAAACAGAAAACATGCGAGGGGGAAGCTCTGGTGAAAGAAAGGCCACTAAGGTGCTTGCTTACAATAGCCACAGGTATCCTGCGTGCAACAATTAGTGCATGGAAGGATCTGCAACCACTGAGATAATGAGCAGCTTGTTGCACTGCAGAAGAATTGTAAGAGAAGCTACTCTGTTTTTCTGCCAAGCCTAACCCCAGACAACTTTGCTATATAAAAACTACTATAGCCATTTCTTAGCATCTATGTCCACTCCATGACTTTCCTCACTCCACCCAAAGACAAACATAAGGGGCATACAAGAGGCAGAGTCAAGAGAGCCAGTTGCTGCACTACATGTCAACCACCAAGCTTCCAAGGGGAAGCCTGGTAGGTGCACAGAAAGATGTCAGCTCTAGAGATATACATCACAACGTCCTGAGCATCCTTCCCTTGGCCCTTCTGTCATACCAGGGGAACCATGCAGCAGAACAGCATCATCTTCGATTAAGCAGAAACTGGCAGTTTTATTTTTCATTCCACAGATTACTACAAAGAGAATAATTTAACCTATCCTTTATGGGATCTACTAAGACTGCTTACCCAAAGATGTTCATGTTGCACTATACAGGTAGAGAAATTGTACTCCCATGTTCCGTGGTAAACGCAGCATAGAAACTCCTTTATCATGAGGTGCTAAAACCACAACAAATGGTATATAGCAAAAAGCCTTTAAAACAGAACTGCTCAACTTCCAGCCTGCAGAGCTCCACACAGGTCAGGAAATTTGGCATCAAGGGGGCAGTGACAGTACTGCCACCCCTCCCTGCTGCCAAAATCTTAAATCTGCAGGCTGAGTAGGGACTGGGCTACAACCCTCCCCCAACATGGCCAGACTGGGGCAGAGCCATGCCCCCTACCCTCTGCACAGCTTGGTTGGGGCCAGCCTGCACCGCTTTCTCACCATGGGGTCAGATCATGCACCCTCTCCTGGGGCAGCTGGTTCAGGGGCTGCTCATGTACCCTTTCCCCCCTGCCTCCCCTCCGCAGGGCTGGGCAGTACCCCATATCCTCTCCTCTGGCCAAGTTGGGGCAAGCCTGAAGAGGGATCGGGCACTGCCCATGTGGCCTTCTGTTCAAAAAGAGTTGAGCACCACTGCTTTAGGATACAAGACAGAAAAATGCAAAAAGAAGTCTCTGGTCCACAAAGCCATTTGGACAAGTGCCTAGCTAGATTTCAAGCAACCAATTTTTCAAAGCTCCTGAAAGACAGGCTAAGAGCAAGAGTGACAATTTTAAAGTCACTGCTGAGTTTACAGGCCCTGCTGCCATCACACATACAAGGCATGAAGAGACAAAGTGCTAGATTTCCTCTCTCTGGGGAAACAAACTACCAGCACATTTTTTCATTAAAGCATACACTACAATTCAGAAAATACAACCTGTTTGAATGAACAAATCTTTTATCCTGCTCATTTATCTTTACATCTTAATAATGGTGTAGTCAATAAACAGGAAAGCCACCTAAGCTACGCTAGCTTTCTCTTTTAAACAGGACACCATGGGATTTCAAGCATTGTATATCCAAAGCAAACATACAATTTTATACCAACCTTCAAAAATATCCAAAGATGTCTGCAGGAAAAAAACTTCCTTGTCAGTCTTTTTAATCTGTAACATTCACAACCAGACTAAGTGAAGCTCTGTGCTACTTTTTATTTTATTTTACTTTTTTAGAAGGCCACCACAGTTTAGCAGGTACATACTGCTGGTCTTCTTGAGTAGCTGCTTAAGGGAAGTTTCACTGTGTACAATAATTTTAGCTACTAGAAGGAATTATTTCTTGAAATCTAAATATTTAATCTGCTTACTGTAATTAAAGTATGAAAAGCATCAATGTAGGTAGCATCCTGCACTAAAATGTTCTACTTACAATGCAAAATTTATGATCGGAAACAAAGCAGCTAGATAAATCATGAACTCTAATGCATTTCACCACCTTCTCTGTAAAGAAAAAAAAATGTGATTTATCTCAAGCAAGTCTATAGATCCTAGATAATGGCAAGTTTCAGCTAGTTAAATAAATATTATTTGTACAGAGCCAACACCTTAGCTGGTACAAAGCAATGAAGTTTCACTTAAGTCAATGGAGCTATGTTATTTAACTTAAACTAAGGAACTGCCCCTTAAAAACCATTCCTCTTGTCAACAGCAGCCGATCACAGATAAAACAAGGTTCTTACCTCAGAATCTGACACACACAATGGATGTCCACATACACACTGAGAGAGCAAGGAGTTGACTAGAGTCATTTTATACTTTAGTTCTACATAGCTTTTTCTCCCCTTTAAGCATTACACATATGCATAGTCTCACAAGGCATCTAGTCTCACAAGTGATCATTTCATGACCTTGTACTTTTAGACTAAAGAAAGGACATGTTACATGTCATCTCCTAATCTGCTATTCACAAGCATATCTCAAGTAATAACCTTTGCAAACAGACAGTCTGTTCACTGTCTGCAGCACTCCACCTAAAGTACACTAGCAGATCCAATAGCAGATCCAGTATTGTTTAACTTGTTTTGCAACACACAGTGCACTAAAGTACTTCTATTTCTAGGCCTAGATATGTAATCTGCAACCTAGTCCCCAACACAACACAGAAGGCTGCCCTTGCAAGAGCAAAATCATAGAAGGCCAGACTGTTAACCCCTTACTCCCACTAGGGAGCAGTTACTTGCCCAAGCACTCCCCTTAGTGTCAGTAAGAACACTCATACAATTGTTTAAAACTGGGAGTTCATAATCTAGATTAGGGCTGTCCAACTGGTGGCCTGGAGACTACATCGGGCCCACAAGGAGTTAATCTGCAACCCCTTGGCTCCCATCTAGCTGCCACTTCCAACATTGGCCCAGCTGCAGGTGCACCTACAGCTGGAGTCTCCAAGAACTCCTTTCTCCTCCAGATTCTAGTTCAGGGGTGGGCAATTATTTTGAGCAGAGGGCTGCTTACTGAGTTTTGGCAAGCCATCGAGGGCCACATGACAGGCAGCCCAGGGCAGATAAATATTAATTTTTTAAATTTTTAGGGGCCCCGCAGGCCAGATAGAATGGCCTGGCAGGCCGCATCTGGCCCCCAGCCCGCTTTTTCCCCACCCCTGTTCTAGTTCCTGCCCCTGCCTCAGGGGGTTGGGCAGGGTAGTGAGGTCCATCCTGCGGTGCCAGCTATGCCTGTGGCTGGGGAGCTAAGATTGAAGCAGGGTGTTTGTGCATGTGGTGCAGTGGGTAGCCCCACGAATCATGGTGATGCAGACCCACACAATGTGCTGTCTCCTACAGCTTAGAAGATGGACAGCTCTGATCTAGACCACAGCCCAACGATCCTGCAAGTGCTTAAGCCTGAGCAGGACTTTTTGACATCAACAGAACTCCGGTATAGTGCATTTGCAGGACTGAGACCACTTCTGATTTTACTTCCTAATAGTGTTATGTCAGTATTATGCAACAAGTTTCAAGCACCTTTTTCCTCTTTTGTATTAGCATAAGTGAGATCAGAATTAGATTTCCTACAATTATTATCCTGAGCAAACAGCACTAGAGGTGAGCATGCGTTTTTATCAGGATGAAAAATCACCCAAGTACAGGGTGGGGTCCAGCATTAACCAATAAACTCCCACTTCCATTTTTAAACTTTGGTAGAAAGAGGAATTTCCACACTCCTGGAAATTAAAGATCTTGCCATATCTGACTGGGCAAGGCTGTCTACTCAGTATTTTCTGAGATTCTCCCACTGCTGACCTAACACCAGCATAACTCCACTATTGTGAAAAATAGTGGAAGAGGGCTCAAGACTTTTCAACTTGCACAGAGCTAATCTAGACTATATGACGATTAAAACAATGGCAATCGCTTTTATACTAGTGTTTCCAAATGACGAGCACCAGTAGCAGCTCCAAATTGCATCTGTAGGGAGGCCCTTGGTTCACATTGCTGTAGCTTCACTTTCCCACAAAATTCTCTTTAATAGAAAAACAAGTCTTGAAGACTAGAGAATCATAAAATCATAAAAAAGTAGGGCTAGAAGGGACCTCCGCAGGTTATCTAGTCCAACGCCCTACCAGAAGCAGGATCATCCCTATACAAACTATCCTATATAAATGTACTGTCTAACCCAGGGGGGTCAACCTCCAGGATTATGCAAGGCTTTCTCTTGTCGTTTTGATTTCTTACATTCCACTTGAAGTTAGACTACACTGTGTGTGCTCTTACTGTGTTTTACTGGGCTGTATCTTAGCTTAGGCAAAGGTTTTTGCTGGTTCTGTCATGTGCTTGAGGTTACAAAGTGCTGTGTTCCATACATGCTTGCTTCAGA